GCTAGTAATGTTCTGTGGTTAGCCTAACCACGGCCAACATTTTATATTGCTGACATTGAAGTGAGCCGAGAAATGCAAAATCAAGGTGGTGTGTCTGAGCGTATGATGTGCACGAACCCTTTCTCCACAGCCATTACAACATTCATGGGCGGAGCCAGAAGGTAGCTAGGGGTTGCTAGAGTGACGACAAGATAGGCCAAGCAACAGCTTAGCAACCTCCACTCTTGAACACCCACCACACACGCACACACTTTTCACCCCATGCCAATAGAGAGCAGCAAACCCAACCACTCACCAAGCAGCTGTCAAGCAACTGCAGGTAAATGTTGTTCTAAATTCTAGGTTTGCTTTAAGAAATTTGGTACAATTTAGACCAGCAAACTTCAGGCTGCCAATAACCAATCATAAGTCACCATTTGTGCCAGCCACACCCTGTGAGAAGGGGGTCTTAAATTAGAGGAGGGGAGGGGTCAACACTGGCAAGGTTCTGAAGACGGTGACTGAGTGATGCGAGAACTGTCAGATTAAGGTAAGAAACTTTCCTACACTGTGTTTTAAAGAAGAAACAAAATGGAAATTGAAAAGAAGCAGAAGGAACACAACAAGGGGAGGGTTCTCCCTCATCGTGTTTTTAAACATCGCATATACACCTTGCTATTGCCCCACTTGGCCACTACTGCAATCACGACAAAAGCACGATTTGGTAAAGGAATTAGCTCACCCATAAATGTTGATTGACTGATTACACTTTCATATTTCTCGGCCAGTTGGCCACCAAGGTTTCCCCATCCTTGAGCTAGCTTACCCTGTCATATATCGACTGTCAAGGTTCCATCCCACAAGAACTGAGAAAGTTTGCTCTCACTCCCGGGACTGCAGGAAAAAAAAAACATCTTTTTCTGACCAGTGTTTGGGAGTGCTCCCAGCTTATTTTTGACAGCAGTAGCTCAGGAGGTAGAGTGGGTTGTGCAGTAATCGGAAGGTTGCAGGTTCAATCCTGGCTCCCACAAGAGAATGCTGCTGTTGTGTCCTTGGTGTAAGAAACTTAACCTTCCTTGCCTGCTGGTGGTGGTTGGAGGGAACAGTAGCACCTGTTCACGGTAGGCCTCGCCTCTGCCAGTGTGCCTCAGGGCAGCTTTGGCTACATTGTAGCTCATCATCACTAGTGTGTGAATGGGTGGATGACTGATTGTGTTGTGAAGCACCTTGGGGGGTTGCAGAACCCTAAGAAGGCTCTATACAAATACAAGCCATTTACACATCATCTGGAAATCACTTTTGCTTGTGTGACGCTGTGAAATTGTGTGATATGAGAACTTCCCATGAGTTCTGCTCTTCAGTTTCTTGCAAAGTATAAAACGTTCCGTCCAGAACAAACTTTGTTTTCTCAAGTTCTAGCCAAATACGGTTACTACCTTAATTAGTGGCTAAAAATGCGTAACAGCAGCGACATCCCGTTCAGAAATCAGTTTGTGTTTGTTTTGATTAAAAGTTCTTTTCATTGCGCGTTTGTTGCACTAAGTGAAGACTCCTGGCAAATTGGTACAGTCACACCAAAGAGTCAAATGGATAGTGGACCTTGGCTTATGTATTACCACACAGCGATAAATGAAACAAAGGTTAGTCTAGTCCATCGGCAAGTGCTGCACGTGCACCTGGATACCGACAAGTGAATTTAAAAAACTCTTCACTCTGTCAGGATCAGAGCTAACATGACTATAAACCACATTTGTAATCAACTCTCAAAACTCTGCATGGTTTCCAAAGTCCTTTCAGCCTGCAGGATGAGGTGTGGCACTGACGTTCCCTCATGCACACGTGCTGCTTGTTTTTTCAAAGGAAGGGTTAGATGGGGACAGATGTTCAGAGTATGCCCTGTAGTAACGTGGGCGCTATAGTCTCTGATTGGAGTTTTATTTTCTCATGAATGAGAGCAGGACACTTCCTGTCTCCGTGGGATGCACACTCCAGTTTGAGTCGTGTGACTCATCTCAGATCCTGACGGGAGAACTCGCAGACAAAAGAGCTGGCTTGGAGGGGAGACTGCCAAATGTTTGGTGTTGTTCTTTGTGTAAATGACAAATTGCTGAACAGATGAATAGAGCGGGATCATTGTTAATAATTCCAGGAGATCTGGTGCAATACACTAGGGTTGATGCAGAAAAGCACCTTCAGACATAAAGAAATTATAATTTGAATCAAATAAATGCAGGGATGGATTCCTTTAAGCGTAATGCACTTTGTGCGCTTGTGTGTGTGTGTATGTAAAGACATCTCTTTGATCCTAAAACAAACATGGATGTGTGTTTTCTGGTCTTTGAAGTAAATGGGTTGCGTTCATCAGCGACATGGACGGCTTGAAGACAACAAAGGAAGTCGGAGGAAGCTCTCTGTCGTCACAAAGTCTGGTGGTGTGTGTGTGTGTGTGTGTGTGTGTGTGTGTGTGTGTGTGTGTGTGTGTGTGTGTGTGTGTGTGTGTGTGTGTGTGTGTGTGTGTAGGGAGTTGTTCGCAGTAGGATGTGATTAAAAGCACAGCAGCACAGAGTAGACAGAGTTTAGACTCAGGACTGCCAGTGTCCTTGTCCTCACTGCTCCTCGTTTTGACACAAGCGCATAAAACAAAATTATTCATATAAGCTTTATGATCACTTGCCCACAAATTACTCTTGGAATCTAATTCCCGCACTACAATCTCATAATAGAAAGCACAGAAGACAAGCCAAGAAGTCATTTTATGCATTTTTAAGGCAGACAGATTTGCAGCCGGTTGTTGCAGCCATCTGGGCAGCAGCGTCCTTGGCTCATCCCGCTTTTTTTATTCCCACATGATGTGGCCCGCTGTCGCCGGAGGTGGAGTAAAAAGAGAGATGTTTTAAATCCAGCTCATGCTCGCTGTCACTCAGAGGCGATGCGAAGAGTGGGCACCTTTGGAGTGGGTGTCAACTGAGAAAACGTGATCCCATTTGCCATGAGAGGTTTTTATTTGTGACTTGCAGGCTTTAGCTCGAGATTCTCGTCGGGCCTCCAACGGAGAGGAGCTCCTCCTCATCCCATTTCCCATTTCCTGGTATAATAATGTAAGAAAATACAAATCACACTTGTCTTGAAACGTTTTGCTAGAATAGACTTTCACAAAGAGATCTGTTGTTTACTAATTTCTGTCAAAGAACGACACGCAGCCCTGAACTTTCACCCAATCCAAACCGGTTTGCATGTGGTTAGAAAGTGTCACGAAGATCTTTAAAAAAACAAAAGCCTGACAAAAAACATGTCATCCTTGTCTAATTCTGAGCCATGTTCAAAACAACATGATTTCAACACATGTAGTCTTATTCTGAGTTAAGGAACGACAGCTGGAGTTAATTTATCATTCATTTCTCTATTGAGCAAACTGAAGTGAAACATGATATTTAGACTGTGGATAAGCAGTGTGGCAGGTTTTTCTAGACAAAGATGCAATGTGAAGGTGAGACTGTTTCTGTTTTCACTTATTTAACCATAAAAAATTGCAAGGTCATCATATTTTTATTGTGTCGCTTTTTTCAGTATTGAAGTATTTGAACCTGGCACTCTACCTGATTGTTTTCATCAAGCAGTAAAGCCTTGCATCTTGTGACTGTCTTTTAATTTGGTAACCAAAGTTAGGTTCTGACTGAAATGATGCCAATCTGAGCGGTTAGTAGGATATTTATACATTTAATTAACTTATCTCAAACATTAATGGCAATATATTTTATAAAACTCTTCATAACTGTAAATTTCAGGGAGAATTCAATCACTGTCAAAACTCACAACCCACCTCTTCACACAAGCGTTTACCACATAGTTTTAATACATAGTTTTTTTAATTTTAGCATCTCAGTATTTTTGCATATTTCTGTACTGTGTTTATCTTGTTTTATTATTTTTCCCATTGTTGTAAAGTGTCCTTGGGTGTCCTGACAGGCGCTGTTAAATAAAATGCATTATTATTATTATTATTATTATTATTATTATTATTATTATTATTATTATTATTATTATTATCATCATCATTATTATTACTATATGCAGATGAAATTGCCTCAAAGTATTAATTTCCTGCCTAACTACATTAACCACCATGACATGTTTGGGGTTAGATTTGTTTTAAATATGACAGAATTTTGTTTTGTTATTAGCCAAATTCCAATTGGCCATCAGGTCGCACATCTGAAGAAGAATAAGAATAATAATAAGAAGAAGAATAAGAAGAAGAAGAAGAAGAAGAAGAAGAAGAAGAAGAAGAAGAAGAAGAAGAAGAAGAAGAAGAAGAAGAAGGGTTTGTTTGTAAAGTGACTTTCATGATTAAAAACCTTAAGGTGCTTCACAAGCACAAAAAAAATGTAAAAGTCAAATGAAAAATTTAAAATTTGAATAAAAACACTGAAAAAAGGGAGACCAGAATATAAGGAAATGAAAAATTCTAATGAGCAAGCAGTGTAACTGATCTCTGCTTCTCCAAACTGAGTCTGCTCAGAGACCAGGTTAAATTTTAATTGTTCATCACCTTTCCCCAAAAATCCAATTTAAGACCATTAAAATTGTCACCAGCTGCTTTATTGTTAGTGAGAAAAAACCCCCACTGCCAAGACTAAAAAATATGTGTGTGTGTGTGTGTGTGTGTGTGTGGGGGGGGGGGGGGGGGGGGGGGGCATTAGTGCGCTCTGCTGAAGTGCCCATGAGCAAACCCTCTCAGTGAACGCTTTGATGACGTTTCTGCTGCGGGTGTTAATGGGGGAGGGGGATGCCTGCGGATGGCTGACCAGAGTCCTGACGTGACTTTTCGCCCCGGCTGCTGGAATGGAAACCGATCCGCGTGTCCACGTGTTTGTGTCACCATCTCATTTGCATATGTAAACAGGCCTCGCCTATCGCTCCGCGGCAGCAGCGAGCGCGCCACCACATTGGTCGGCGCGGGTTCAACGGAGGAGCCAATAGGAGCGCCGGATGCCGCTGATCCCGCCCCCTCAGACACGTTGCCTTGGGAGAAGCTACACGGGCCATCACTGGCTGTGGCTGCTACCTCGTCGCTCACACGCAGCACGTCCTGCACATCAGCTGCTCTCTGGCCGACAGTCCTACCGGATTCACCGCTGAACAAAGGAGGAGGACGACCAGCCGCCGGATCCTGGGAAGGTAGGTCACCTCCACATCGACTCTAGTAGAACACCTCTGCTTCTGCCGTCTGGAAAATCACCCACGGGAATCCAGTTACCAATAATATAAAACATGTGTTAGAGATGGGATTATTATTGGTTTTATATAATCTGCCAGATTTACTATAAACCAACGAGGAAGTCTATTGTGTTACTCAGCTGATCTGAGCTTTATCCTCTTGATGATGGAAATATTCTCATGTTTATTATAAAACGCTCTTTCCTGTCATCCAGGATCCTCCCAGTGAGCAGAAAACGTGCTGATCACATTCATGTCGTGTTGTTGTTTCCTATATTCTGTTAAAAAATACACTCTTATTTTAACATTTGGTCGGAATAGAGGAGTGCAGGGCTATGAGGTGTTGTGGTGCATGTTGAGGCCCTGGGAAATCCGAGCTTTCAGTTGTGTGCTGTTGTCAAATCAGAGCAAACAAAAAGACCCCAAACAAGTCATGACTGACTGGATGTTGGACATTTTTAGAAAAACACGTTGTTGTATGGAAATTAAAGGTTCCTGGCTGCTTTTTTTCATGGTTTTAAAGCATTTGCCTTCATTTCAGAGAGACTGTTGGTTAGAAAAAATGTAAAAAATGTACCTTAACAAACAGAAATGTTGGATAATAAACCATCTATAGTTGAGAAAGGCTTTTACAAAATTTGCATTGCCTTAATTTCCCCATCTGTTTATAAAAGAGTCAACGAAACATCTTATTATGTAATTTTCTATCTGTTAGGCCTGTGTTAGTAAGTCTCTACAGCATCAGAAAAGTGGCCATCCTGAAAGGAAAGAAACACCTCTCCTACCCCCAGATTTCACAGGAAACCAACGACTTTAACCGTTCAAACACTAAAAATGATCCCTGTGCTGAAAATGCTGCTCTTACTTCTCTTATGCGCTAATCGCCAAGGAAACACGTCAAAGCTCCAGCAAGCAATTAAGCATCAGTTCAGAGCGCTTGGAGCTTTTATTCACGAGATGTTCCTCGATCCAGGGACAAGCGGTTCTGGTCTTTTCATTCTTTTACGCCCCTTTTGAGTGTCACCTTTTCTAGGGAGGTCAGCAGCGGTCCACTGAGGCGTGGGTCGTCATGTTGACAAGACCCCTGCCCCCTTTTTGAATAAACACACTGAGTGTCTATGAATGAAGGGCAGCAGCTGGATAAAAGGAGAAAAACTCATCCCTGAATGTGCAAACGTGGGAGATTAGTTTGTAGAGACGGCAGCACGTGATGTGTTTGCCTTAGATGGAGGGCTCAGGTGTTGCATCTGCCAAACAAACAGGTCGTTGTGGTTTTGCTGCCTCCATCTGCACAGCCCTCCATCTTTATTTGTGTCTGCTTGGCCTGAAATGTCTTTTAAAGTTGTATTTTTTTATAATTCAGGCAAATCTGCAGGATTTATGTGGACCCCAGCTGAGTGTCCTGATAAAGTGCGTCTCTTTCCCTCAGGTCAGTGATGGTCAGTGCTGGTTAGAAGCTTGCAGCTGAGGATGTCTGCTACAGATTCGGACAACTCCATTGACTGGCTGGCTAGTGACAATGAGGAGAACGACAGCAAACAAGAGCCCGACTGTGCCTCGAAGCGCGGTCAGGCAGAGGCGTCTCCATCCCCCAGCAGCCCTCCACGCCCGGACCCGTCTGACAGCAGCGAGCTGAGGGAGGGCGACGGGAGCTGGAGTCAGGTCTCCAGTCCAGCATCAGACAGAGGCGCTGCCGTTGGACTGTGTAAGACCCAGCGTGGACAAAAGGCCAATTCCAAGAAAAGACCTCACAGCTCCACGGAAGAACGGCAGCTTTTTCCCAACAAGACGGAGAAGGATCAGATATTTAGCAGCAAGGTGAGCACCTCCTGTGACTAATGTTTGTCTCCCACAGGAGGCGGCTGACAGTATCAGCAAAACCAGAGCGTGCCCCGTCACCCAGACCGACCCCCCGGCCGCTTTTACAGCTATTTCCAGTAAAGATGACCCTCCCCCAGTGGCTGTTTGCCCTTCCCTTCTGAGGGAAATTGAGTCACTTCATAAAATGTCAAGTTATTGGATTTTTCTTTCTTTCTCAACACTAAAAAAGGATGAAGCTTAGCAAAAAGCTGTTTAAGCGTGTTTTTATCAGCTGCTCACAAATCCATGTATTATCATTTCCAGTGCATGGAGCTACAATGCTACATTCATCCGCTGTCATCAATCTTGAATGGCCTTCGTTCAGGGAGATACAGAGAAAGTAAGTCAATCGTTTCATTTGGGTTTTTTTGTTTGTGTTTTTATGAAGCAGAAAAAAGAACAAATAGTTTTTTTTATCCTCTCTTTTATCCTTGTAAGCTCTGACCACCGTTGTTAACAGTTTACATATGAAATAGGCCAATGCTGGATTTGTTTGACTTCCTGCTTTTGTATTTCCTATAAATTCGATTAAAACATCAACAGAAGACATTTTTGGGTTGTGTGTAGCTCTGACTGAGAGTAAGACGTCTAAAACGTCTTCTGTTGAGCTAACCACAAATATTCCTCTTCTGTGTGGGAGTTTTGCAACTGAGATCATGTTTTTTGTTCACTATTTCAAGAGATAAAGAAAGTGCACAAAACCTCACACTTTGCACTTCCTGGTTAAACTTGGCAGGAGCGATTGGGAACATACTGTACCACGCTCTGCAGAGGGGTAGCAGTCAGATAGACGTTATGTGCTCCTGCGGATGATCTAACCGCATCCAGACAGGCTCTAAAACTGCTTACTCCAGGATCTCGGTCCAACCCAAACCTCGTGTGACCCTGCGCTTCCCGCTCACAGCAGCAGGGAGTCTGCTCCTTCCTACAAACGTTTTACACAATCCATCTGCTGCACAGACTCCACACACCATCACTTCAGCTGTCTTCTTCTTCTTCTCCAGGACTCAGCAGTTTCCAGGAGAGTGTAGCCATGGACAGGATTCAGAGGATCATGGGAGTCCTGCAGAACCCTTTCATGGGGTAAGGGGGACCCACGTGCTCTGCTTTAATTTTTTTTATCAATGGATTTCCAGTTAAACACAAAACCACCAGCATCCGTAGTGCTCTCAGCTTTCTAAGTGGCCTCCATTAAGTCTCACAGCGGGTCTCCACTACCACACACACACACACACACACACACACACACACACACACACACACATTCAGGCTAAATGTACCGCAGAGAGATTGCAGAGAGTCGCACTTTAGCCTGGCGTCTCGTTAAAAATGCATCACTCTCCACCGTGGGAGGAGGGCGCTTGTGTCTGCGTGGTTAGCTCTCCACTGACCAGACGGTGTAATGGAGTGTGATACCAGGAGAAAGTCACGACCCCTGCAACACGATCGCCTTAAAACAAGTCGACGTTTGGCAGTTTGGATAAAAACAGACGATTTTCTGAATTGTTCAGAAGATCTGCATGGAGCTTTGACGCCAGGAATGCTGCTGAGCCTGGCTCCGGCTAATTGGAGACCTCTCCCACCAGCTGCTGCTTTCATATGGGAGACAAAGAGTGGGTGTGGCCGCCTCCCGTCTGGAAGGTGGACCCAAACCCCTCCTTCCTCCCCTTTACCGTCATCCCTCCATTCTGCCAGCTGGCAGCCCCCTCCGGTGGCACAATGGCAGATCGGATCAAAGTGACTTTTTTTGCAGCCACCATTGCGGATAATCTTTCACATGAATTTTACATGCTCTGACTGGAACGCAGCAGAAAGGTCCCGATCGTACGGTGCAGGCTAATCCCCCGTGCGCCATCTGGTTTTGTCGGTGCCTCCTCTGAGTTCTCCCCTCCTTCCTTCGACGGCATCGTCTAGTTTATTTCCACAATGACACTGTTGGACACCGTTGTGGCTTTGGTGTTTATATTTAGACACAAGCAGAGCTGTTACACGTCAGGCCACGTGTGAGCTGAAAACGTGTGAGAAATGTTCTCAAGACTGTTTTCCCCCCACGCACACACGGAGCGCAGCCCCCGCTGCTTCACTCGCCGTTTCCACGTCGCACATTTGCTTTTGATGGAGAGATAACAGTCCTGTGAAGCGGTTGGCGAGTCTTGAGGTTCATGCATGATCCAACAAGTAAACATTCCCTGTGTTTCTCCGCTTCCGTCCTCCAGGGAGAAGTATGTCGATATCATTCTGAAAATGGAGGAAATGTTAAAGAGCTGGTTCCCTCATGTGAAACTCCAAGACCAACTTACCAGAACTGACGGAGTCGTTTCCAGCAAGAGACTTAAGGTAAAGATCTAGAAACATTGGATTTATTAGTTGTTGTTTTTTTTAAAAGCCAGCCTGTTTTAAAAGCTCTTCTGGAAAACGTGGGATGCTGCTGCTGTCAGAGTGACACCGATGGAGACAAAAATACCCATTGTTATTTAATCACAGGTCTGAGAGCAGTAAAAAAAGAAAAGAGGATTAAAAGCTATTTTTACTGAGTCTCAGGTTCACCAAGAACAATGCCAGAAGAGAAGGTAATTCTGGAGGAGGGCTCCTTGTTGAGTTAGAAAGGTCACGTCAACCTGGAGCAGTCTTTGCTAATGAATTTCTGATGCTAATCGCATAAACAGGAGGATCGTGTTTCGGGTTTCCTTTTCAATCTCTCTGATGCTGGTAATCGTCTTTAGTTTTTCTACGAATCATTACAATTTAAAGGTTGAGGGGTATAAACGCGACTAATGCTAAGGAAATCATTAACCAACTGCTTAAGGAACTTTATAGCTTCTTTTAACTTATTTGAATGTGTGGTTTTGCCTCAGAGATTCAGTTCTAGAGACCAAAACAGACTTCTGTGATCAGAAACAAAAAAAGATAGAAGTTACTGTGAAGCTTGGATCACCTTCACAGAAAAATATCTTAAATCTTTGTGTTTACTGCCAAAAAGCTTCATTTCTCTTATTTTGCGAGTCAGAGGTTATGTTATTTATGTTGGAGAGGGTTAATGCAGCCTTATTTGAAGCTCTTCAGCTGACATTGATGAAGTTAGAAGTTGAATCACAGTTGATTTTATTAATTTTAGGCTTTATTGTGCTTTAGTCCTATTACAAAAATTCTAATTTCCAAGTTAGCAAAAACACACCGAAGCAGAATTGAGACTTTAGTCAGGAACACGGAAGTATTGTAGCTGCTAGCTCTGTTGCTACTTATTAGGGGTAGACCGATATATCGGACTGATACTTACCATTTTTTATATATTGGCATTGGTCATTTGTCCTTAGTGAAGCCGATTTAAATCAGGCACATCCCTGGGCAGCTTAATGCTACTGCAGAAATTAATTTAAATATATATTTTAATTTGCAAACTAAACGCTCTAAAATTTCTTTTTATATACCAATTTTTAATACTTGATTTTTTTAATACCTTCTACTACTTATTAGAGGTCGACCGATGTTGGTTTTTCTATTGCTGATACCAACATGTAGGAGGCACGGTCAGCCGATGGCTGATGTGTACTTTTGATTTTCATGACCAATATCTGGACATTTTCCATCTTATTTTCATGCTAAAATGTCACTAATAACATCAGCGGATGCACAAAGATCAGTTTTTAAACTCTGAATTCAACTAACTGATAAATCGTAACTTGCACTGCTCTGTGTTAAATTCAGACACCTCAATAAAGTTAATTTAGAGTATGTATTATGCAGATGTTATTAGTGAATGTAAAAATGCATTAAATTAAATTCTGCAACAGCATCGGGCTACCCGAGGATGTGCCTGGCTTTAAATCAGCTTTACTAAGGACAAATATCGGCCGACTGATACATCAGCCTACCCCAAGTTCTGATATCATTTTATTCTTAACTGTAGTTCAAGTTTTGCAGTTTTAAACAAAATCTGAGACGAAAATGTAAAACTTTGCCACTAAAACATTTTATTTTAAATGCCAGTCTAGCTGAGAACAGGCAGATGGTTAGATTTCCTTTTTATCCTCCTTTTTTCCTCCTCATCCACCTTAACTGGATCCAAACATGTGATTTTATTAAACTACAGTCAATGAAGGACAAAACGATAAAAGTACACCATGTGCATTAAAAATGTTTAAATGTCTGCAAAGTAAAAGATTATGAAGAAGAAAAGTACAGCCTTTAACAGGTGTCTGATTGCAGCTGGAGACGTTTTAATCTGCATTCTGTCACACAGTCCTGCTGTACTTGTGGGTGTTTATTGGTTCTAGCTCCAGTTGGCATTTATGAGTACACAACAACTGGGTGCACATGCTAATTTTCACCAAGGGTGATCAAGGATTTCTTTTCCTTTTGCAAAAGCACATGTTTACCATGCACGGCTGCTCTAGAGCTGCCAGTAAACAACTGGCAGACATTAAAGTGACAGAATAGCCGACAACTCCTTCTCTGTGCGGCTGACGTCTGTGGTCCAGTTTAAAAATAATAAGCTCGCCTAATTATCTTAGGAGATTGTGCAGGAAATGGTGCAGCGGCCTGTCTTTAGTCACTGTCGCTTATAACCGGGTTGTGCCAGGTGGTTAAAGTAACTCTAGTTTGGTTTTTGCTTCAGCACTGATGGAACGGAGAGGAAACGAGCAACTATTACTGAGGAAATTTGTGCTTTTTTATTAGATTTAATTGTACTAAAAATAAGACACGTGTGCTTTTGTGTTTTCCAACAGGTAAACCCAGTGGACCCGACAGCAGCAGCAAGCCCCGTCACCGTGGGGGATCTTCCAGCTGGCACCAAAGCCCTGAGAGTCACAGACCTGACTCCTCCTGGAGCCTACTCCGCCAATAACCTGAAGTGGCTCCACACGTCACCCATTTGCTCCCCTGCAGCAGAGGAGGCCCAGGCTAGTCCCAGGCATCTGCTGCTCTCCAGAGACAGAGACCTAACGCAGGACAATGCCGTGTCCTCCAGCACAGACAGCCAAACTAAGACGGAGCCCATGCCCAGAGGCCCTCCGCCGGGCAAGATCAGGGCGCCCTGCCTGGAGCAGCTCCTCAAATCAACAGACAGCATTGTCACGCGCAGGGAGACGGGGGGCTTGATGGGCAGCAGCGGGTCCTAGTCCACAAAGAGGGCTGGGAGTCCGGCTGCAGCCCAGCCTCGCCTTCCCCGCCCCTGCTAGGAGTGTGTCGGCTCGCTCACTTCATTCCAGCCTTCAGGAGAAAAGACGGGAGCATTTAAACTAAAACTGAAAAGGGATGGCACGGATTCCGGTTGAGCGAGTGTCGACGGAAACGATATTATCTCTACGCTACCACTGACACGAGAAATCGTCCGCCTTTTGTTGACTTCTCCTCGTTTTGTGTTTGCGCTCTTGAATGTTGAGTGTTGGACGGATAGATTTTACACGGTAACCAGAGCAAGTACCGTCAAGAAGTGAATTTTCCTGTTGGCTCGTAGGTTTAAACAAATCCATTTTTAAAGCATCTGTGAAAAATGTCATCATACCTAAAAAAAATCACATGGAATAAAAGGAGGGAAGTCTGAGCTGGAAGCAGGAATTCTGCAGAAATGCAGAAGCGATCTACATATTATTGTGCTGAAAATGTGGGTAAAATGTGACGTTTTCCCCCTTTTTCCCAACAACTCCACTCTTTTAGTTCAATAGTTTACTGATGTGACTGTTACTCATTTCTATTCTTTATTGATGAACCTTTTTAGTACAACTGTTCTACCTCATTGAGCACCACGTCATGGTTAGCGAGTAGGAGTGTGAACACTAAATGTCTGAGCAGCTCTGCAGAGGTGTGAAGAACAAACGAGAGGATGCTCTCTCTGCGGGGGGATGCTCTCATGGCCTGACTGGTGCCATTGTAAAGAATGTCAGCAGCAGATTTGTTTTTATTTTTGATTTTTGAGTCTCCCAGTAGAAGGCAAACAGTGCCTGCAACATCAAGCTGTGCCTGTAAGCCACTTAAATAAAGAGAGAAGTGTTTCGAGTACCTGCTCCTCTGTGGGATGTACGAATCAGGAAATTTCACTCTCCTGCCATGTTCCTGTATCGACTAAATTATTCGGATTTGCCAACTGCTTTCTGTGGTGGAGTAGAACAACTAGGATTTTATTTTGCCACAGAGCCCGACAGCGAGTTAGACCACCGGTCAGTGAGGGACAAGGTGTGTTTGTGTAAATCTTGCAGAAAAGTTGTCAACTTACCCTGAAAAGTGGCCTTTTACAGTGTGAAATTTTATACTTTCAAAATAAATGTGGTTATATTTGTTTGATGCAAAAAAAAAATCATGCTTGAAATTATTTTGTTGGGAATTTTCTTTCATTCTTTAGGATATCTGTTGTTTTATTACTTAAATAGTCTCAGTTTAAGTCCGAGATTCACCAAAAAATCAGTTGGGTGATCAAAATAGGTGGTTTACCACCAAACCCTCAAATGCATGTCTGGACTTTTCTGCTGACTTTATCTGGAAAAGGGGCCACAAACCCTTTTTTTACCCATTTTTCTAGAATACTCTCTGCTCTGGTGTTGTTTTCCTCTGCTTTCCCCATACCAGAACAACCGCACGATGGCTACAGCGTTTTAGCTTTCAGAAGCTGTTGGAATGTTTTAAAACTGTCATGATTAAGGTCATGCAGAATTCAACATGTGAAAATGTGTACCTCTGATTGGCTGATGACATTAAACACGTCATTACCTAGCAGCAAAAAACAAAAACAAAATTTCTAGCAAATGAGATGTTTAAAACTATTTTCTGCTCATTTTAGTTTGAGTTCATGGTTCTTGAGAGGCCAGAGCTGCACAAAATCACAAAACCCAGACTTGGTGCATCTCTGTTTATAGCCTTTGTAAACAACTCTGCAAACTGTTTTGGACTGAATCTACCCAAGTGCACAAAATAATTTTTCTAACTAAACTAGCTCTTCTATCAGTCGAATTATCTTAAAGAAATGATGATTTACATCACAGATCTAGTAACTATTATCTCACTCGAGGAGAAACGCTCATTTAGGCCTCACTTCCTCAAAGAATAATCAGATTTACTGATTTTGACTCAAACTGTCATCTTCAGTCGCTCAATCCCTGCCAGGAAAGGTGAAGATTTCTGCTATTAAATCGTTTTGCATTGCCCATAAAATATTACTCAGTTTCTTCGTCCCTGTGGATCAACCCAGAGGTAAAAGAAAGATTGGCATGCTTACACTTAAAGGTCAACCATTTTTTATGATTATTTCTGAGTTTTTCATGCAGGCTGAACATGAAAATAGTCTCCTACACCTATCTCCTGCATTAGATTCTGATAGAAAATAGACGATGAAGCTCTAGGATTTAAAAAGGCTGACAGATCTACATCACACTGTCACTGAACATTCATGTACTCACCCATCTCGACCACGGCGAGGAAGGTTGTTTGTTTTGCGTCAAGGAAACAGCAGAAAACATCTCGACTAGCATAACCTGACCGTTAGCATTAGCCACTCCTCCACATGGCAGAACTCCTCCAGGCTTGCAATATTAGCGGAGATCAAACCTCAATGTTGCAAAGCAAACTGGGCCAGTGGTGGAGTTGTGTTGCTGTTAGCCAATCAGAGGAGAGATGTTCACATATCAGTAAATAAGAGTCCAAATCCTGTCATGTTCAGTTCAAGGCCCAGTCCCAATACTCGCACTGCTGAACTGAAACATGAAGCATAGCGTCATTGACCATAATGAATGCCAGGATGGTGGTCACTGTGCTACTTAAAAAAAAATCTTTATTAACAACTTTCAAACAAACTTTCAATCATTTGACATTTATGTTCTCTGCTGTCCACATTAAATATTTGTCTAAAACATTCAGAGCATCAATTAATCGTCCTGAAATTAACTACTTTCATTTGAAAATATATATTTTTCGAAAAGGTATGTGAGCCTTGCTCCTGCAGCATTGGATTGTGGGTAATACCTGGATGGGAATGTGCAATTGAAGGACACAAGGGATAGCCTGGCAAGCCAGACTAAATAAATGTATTTATTTATATAATACATGTATTTAGTCTGGCAACGCTCCACTGACGGCTCTCGGTTGTGGGGCGGGTTCTACCGTTGTCTTTCAAATGATCTCTGCATTCCACTGGACAATGAATGTGACATACTCTTGTTTCACTCTGTTGCATCATTCCACCCACCAGGCATATAGAGTGCCCTGATTGGCCCACAAAGTGGATAAAGCTCTGTGATTTGTTCACTAAGCAGATAGAGCACTATGATTGGCTCACTATTATGGACCAATCACAGCTCTTTATGTGTTTGAAACCCCTCTAGAGAGCTGTGATTGGCCAGCCAGAGTCCTGGTAGGAGCTGCGGAGGTTCCAATGGAGCATGCCTAGACCAAACGTTGCAAAGCAAGAATTTGGTCTAGTTCACTAGAGCCCCCTTCAGACAGGCCATGAAAAACGGAAATGTTCCGGAATCTGTCCGTAAGACCTTTGTGTCTGAATACAAACATCCGGATAACGTGTTCCGAAATTTATCCGGACGAAGCCCCTAGTAACGGACAGGGTGGCTGCTTCAGACTGGTGAGGTAAAGTTCCGGACAAGAGGGAGGGGGAGGAGGAGGGGACCGGGGGACGCTGTGCGCACCTAGATAGCCCGCTGCTGTAGCATGCGGCGAACCACGGCAGCTCGCCTCCTACAGTACCGCCTAGACGCGCGACGGAGCGCTTCACACCGCTTCAGTGATTCCTTTAACCGTTGAGCTTCATCATCCAGGTCTCTTATGCATCTTCGTGTGCGCAGAATTATGCTTAAGCGCCTTGTGATTTTTATCTTGAGAGGCGCTATAGAAATGATATTTTCTTCTTCTTCTTCTTCTTATCATAAGTCCGATTCCCACCCCACCCCCCGCCGCCGTCAGACATCTGGAACTTTTCCCTGCTGTGTGAACGCAGCCGAAAGGACAAGTTCCGGTACAAAAGTGGTGTGTCTGAAAGCACAGTTCCGGTTAAAAACCGGATTGAATTGTTCACAAATGTTCCAGAATGTCTGTCTGAAAAGGGCTTAAGCTACACAAGGGGGGAAGTGCAAGTGTTGGGATTGGGCCCAACTCTAATCTGGCTCCCTGCTAGTTCTTGTTACAGGCGCATTAGGGGGTTTTTCACCCCAGAGTACGACTTACAAGGCATTTATTCCTACTAGAGACTTGTGCAAATGTATTGATTAAATTAGTGAACCACACCTTTAAGAAAAACAGCGTCAGATTAAAAAAAGAGTTTATAAGTATGAACTTTGGCCCATTTAGTCAATACTCAAGGAACACAGCAGCACATGAGTCATTTAGCAGATATTTAATATCCAGAATGCAAAAGATCACAGACTACAGCTCAAAAACTGATGAAGAAAACATGTTTGTGTCTTTTGCATCAGCACGTGTAAGAGAAACTTCCTAACATGATAAAATATGTATTTCAATAAACAGAAACAAATATCAAATATTTTGTATAAACTAATCCAAACATAAGTTGTACAGGTATGATGAATATATTTTGCACATCTCAAATGAAGTAAAAGTTGTTAAAATTGCATTTAGTAACTAGGTCACAAATACAGCCATGAATGTGAGAATTAATGTGCATGAGTTTGAAAAAATAAATGAAAATAATTCTTGTAGCTGCTGTGCTACAAGCTGTTAAATCCATTTTTACTCTGTCTCTAAGATAACTTGTCTCTACTGGCTGTAAAAAAATCTATATTTTACAACAAAACAGAAGAAAATACAAATCTTTACATGCCACTATTTCATTTTTAGGATACAAAAATCGAACTAAAACTGTACTTTGAATAAAAACACGTGCCTGTGTGGTTGGACCAGTTGCTGAATCTGCTCTGCTGCAGATTTATTTCAGCAAAACATCCTGAATTAACCAAGAGGAGAAAACGCATGTTTGTGGGAGCACTGTGACCTGCTCATTCAAAACATGGCTTCTCTGAAGTTCACCACATTGTCACGTGCGTCTTTTTCCAGACTAAAAGGGGGCCGATTTGGTCGATAACCCACAATGCATTGTTTCTGTGACGCTGTCCCAGATCCTGTCTCCTAGAGCTAGGCTAAAGGTCTGAGCTCACGTGCACAGACAGTGCAACAGCAGCTGGCATGGATTGCTCTGACAACCGGACCTTGTTAGGAATGACAGGAAGAGCTTGATCAAAACATGCAGCAAAAAACAGTCTGCCCATAATGAGATATGTCGGGGAAATTAAAAATAATAATAATAAAAGAATAAAGAATGCAGCTTAAGATTTTCTGTTTCGGTGCATTGAAACAAAATGTTAATATTATGAAAAGATTTTTTTTCAGTATTTCTATTTTGAAATATTTCTATTTAAAAAAAAATCAATATAATGTGGGTTTGGTGCATAAAAGATCAAGTACCTGAATGAACAGAAATGACTCTTGAAGCCTGAAAAATTATGATGAGTTCAGTCCTCATTTATTCAATCGTGTTAAACTACACAAAACTGGATTTACCGGCTAACATTATCGACCCGCAGGAGAAATTACGTTGCTTTTCATTTTGGAAGCTGCACGGAGATTTTCCTTTAGAAAACTGATTGATGTCTGAGTTTCCTTTGTCTAGACTACAGTATGTGGGCAAAACTACAAAGACGAATCATTAGAGGAGCCACACAAATGGGGGCCTTTTGTTGAATTCATTCAAAGGTAAGTGGGAGAGAGAGAGAGAGAAAAAAGGAGAGAGAGAGAGGAGAGAGTGAGAGATAGATAGAGAGGAGGACATGTCCAAGGTTCCAGGTGCAAAATGTTATAAGGAATTATGGTAAATAGGGTCTGATTATCTCTAGCAAGCCTTTGTTAACTGACCTTTATTTGAGAATAAAATCAAGAGAGTTTTAGCTTAAATTACAGCCAATATGGTGGCACTTTAAACTGCTGTATTTGTTTTAGTACCACAATAATATATGATGAATGACGTACGAATTCAAACCGAGTTTCAC